AAATATGTAGTGGGAGCCAACTGCCTGTTAGTTTAGCTTAACATAAAACCTGGAAATGGGGAAACAGTTGGCAGGCAATCTGGACTCCTGGAAGTTACTGCTCACAGCCAAGAAATAATCTAACACATGAAATATATATATATATATATATATATATATATATATATATATATATATATATTACAATTCTTAACATGCATGCAATGCCTTTTTTCAGCCGGACTTGCTGCCATTCCCTCCCTTCTTTTTCCAGTCTTTTTGCTTTTTGTGTCTCTAGCTTTTTATTTCCTATACAAATAACGTAGAACTGAGAGAAAAAAAGCATATTTCCCCAAAATGTAACTGTTCCTATAGTATACTCACTATAGTTTTGTCCTTCTTTGTCTTAAATTAATTTCTCTTCACAAATCCATACTGAAGGTGTGGAATCTGGTCAGCACAACTCGGCGCTATCTCCAGAAGGGTTATTCCACTGTCACATTGCGCGATGGAGACTTCTACTTCTGCTACTTCCTCTGGTTTGAAAATGAAACAGTAAGTTGCTAGTTTGTCGTTATTTAGTATCCAGTAATAAAAATAAATCAATTTAGTACTCTGGCATACTATACAAGTTTAAAAACAGCATCTTATAATGCCTTTATATCTGATTAATCAGGGCTACAAGTTAGAGGCAGGGGACATACCCATCCTGCCTGATGACTCTGCCCCAATTGGGATGCTTGCCTGGGACTACTACAGGTAAACAACTGTGGATGACAAAAATAGGTGTGATTAATCTAAAAGAGAGTGCTGCTGACTATAGAATGTAATTTGTCCAGCAGGAAGCTGCTGCGGTACTACAGTAAGAATCACCAGGGTGAGGTGGTGAAGTGCTACGAGCTGCTGACAGTTCACCTGGGGGTCATCCCCACCGAGATCATCCTCCAGCACTGCAGACAGCTGGCAAGCAAACTGTGGGAGCCTTCGCGCAATCCACTGCTGTAGACTCACCCACACACTTGAACTGAGTAACAATAGCCAACGTAAACATTAATTGTATTTCCATGAACTGAAAAAAACAAAAAAAACAGATATCCGTAGATATATAATGTGTCCAGTGCCTGTGTTTCATGTTACCACCATTTTCATTGAGTATGAGGTTATTTATCCTGTGATAAGTTGACCTCAAATTATTTATTAGAAGCACTTACATTTATGATTAGCACAATCCAACACCATTGTGCACTGGTATGTGTCTTATATGAAGCATATTGACAATATCTTTAATTTTTGTAATAAATTGTAATATATTTTTGAACTCATTTTTGAACTGTTTCCTATTTATTAGTTATACTATATATGTTTTTTCACATTTAAAAATTTGCAGCTGATAGATTTTTATAAATGCACATACTGTCCATTTTCCTTTACTACTGCTAGATGCTCGTGAGTGAACTTGTATGAATAAAACATGCAACAGTAATTACTGTATGTCTCTCTTTAATATAGATATTTTTACAATAAGTATCAGTAGTCTCACATTCACTCGTTTATTGAGTTGTAAACAGAATTGAAATAGCACTATTTGAACCACTCATCATTGCATTCATTTTACAAAGTTAATCGTTGAGCAAGTTATTCATCCATATGACTAATAACAGCTGCTGATGTAATAAAATAATTTAAATTGGATATGTATAGGTTAGTTTGTACAATCATGAGCTTGTTTAACCTTTAGAGTTTAATCAGTCAACCCTGGACACACTGGTGAGCATTTTAAAGGTCATTCCACGCTGTGTAGGATTCTTCCAGCCGGGGACAGTTATGAATGACCCCATACCAGCTCACAGTGAGAGGGAGAGGTGGTGGAGTTCAGTATATTATCGGTCCTTTCCCCGCTGACTCACAGAGCTCCTGTGAGGTCAGTCACAGCTCCTGAAGCCACCAGGTCTCTCAAGAAGAGTTTCTCAGCACTGACATCATGCACCACCTGAATGGAAATAAAAATGAGCCATAAATACATCACTGGAGTCCAAACAGGAGGCTTATGAGTCCTAAAATGTGTACCACTGTTTTAATACAAACCTACCTGAGACTTCATTGCGCTCATGCGTATGGCCTCATAGTAGTGAAGCCTGGCCTCGGGGTGCTGCATATCGTACCCAAACCCTGCCAGGCTCACCTGGTCACACAGCTGTAAAGCCATCACCACTGCACTGGCACCTAGTGTTGGCAGCATCTACTTGAGGAAAGAAAATACTTTTGATCCATTTCTTCCAGCAGTATATTCTTTAAGAAATATCTAACATAACATCATTAATCGCTTATAAAGGGCAGTGGGTACTAAAATCAGCATGTGAGCATCTTGAATTGAAGGTTATGTTTTCATCTTTCACTCTCTTAATTGCTAGCAAAGTCAATATATGCCTCAGCCTGGTATGTCCATATATTATTCAGGACAGGTTAGGCTTCACAGACGTGTTATAGTATCCTTTTTTCTTTTTACATGCAGCCTTGTTTGAAAGCATACAATAACACATGAACGGAATATAAAGGTGTATCACAACTTGTGAACAGGGAATTAAATATAGAATATGCGTGTTAGAACTCACATTTCCCTGTTTCTGAGTATATTTTTGTAGGGCCTGTCCTGTCTTGTGAATAATCTCCGGGTGGAGGATCCTGAAGTTCTCCGGCCTCAGGGGAATCTCATCCACCACCTCCCTCCAGAACCATAATTTGGACCAGAAGCTCTTTGGAAAAACAACACAAGAGGGTATACAGCATGTGAGGCTGTGAGTGTGATGATGCGATTGATGTGTGGCTGCATGAGATGCAGTGACACTGTGGCTTATGTAATACACCATTTCTGTGTGCAATGGTTCCTGTGTTGTCGACTTACCAGCCGCTGTTTGGTGATGACAGCAGTGAGCCAGTCCAGGTCCAGGCTCTTAAAGACCACCAGAGCAACCATGGTGGTCTTTCTGTACTCATTTGCAGAGTGAGGCGCTGCCTCTGGGTAAATCAGACGGATGGTGGTGTGGGAACCAGCATCTCTCTCAAAGCCAGGAACTGGAGCATTATTCAGCCTGGTAACAGAGATAAAAATACAGAGATAAATAAATCTCTGAAATTGATTATATTTATTGATGCAATATTTTCTTCATGTGTTTTTCCCCATCTGCCTGACACTGGCACACATACCTGATAATGATGTCATACTGATCTATATGGGATCCAAGATGACTCCCATGAAGAACCCCTCCGTTTCCCACCACCACACATCGCCTGCATCTGCCTTCGCCTCTTAGGGATAGAGGCAGGCCAGGCTGAGGCAGGGAGGCAAGAGCCAGGGCCAGATGCTCTTCACTGCCCTGAAGTCCCAGAGGAGGGGACAGATCCCAGGGCACATGCCTGTCCTGCTGCACAAACACGGGGATGTCTAGGAGGCCTGCAGAACAGGACAGGGGCTTGAGGTGGTTCAGACACCAATGAGGCAGACAGGGCCCTGACAGAAGGGAGGCTGACCTATTTAGTAAGACCTAAAGATAGGGGCAAACGTAGAGAGAAGTGTGGTAAGAGTGAAGACATGATCCAAAATGATTTCTAAGGTGTGTATCCATACCAGATCTTTGGGATATTGGTAGTCATCGCTATGAGTTGCCACTTTATCCGAGGGTAAGTAGGCAGGGATCAAAATAGCTGAGTAGCATCCGATCAGCAGCACCAGACTGAAGGCAAGGTTCTCACTCCTGTACAGCAGAGAAAAAGGACAACAGAACTTGTTTCATAGCATAAAATAACAGCTCCACCAAATAAATATAGTACCTCCAGAGAGCAATGTACCTGCTGAGGAAATATTCCCTGGACTCAGTCTTTGTGAGCGCTCGCTGTCTGTGAAAGTCAGGTGTTGGCGTTGCCTCCTCCGCAGCCTCAGGCAGCAGTGGAGAGCCATCGTCTGGGTCCTCTACACTCAAGTGATTCATAGTCACCATGGTACCTGTTCTTCTACCTAAGACACACACACATTACTGCTTCTCTTTCTTTCTTAATAACAACATGAACACATGAACCACAGTACCATGTTACCATTTCACAACCAAATGTGAACAAACTCTGTCTTTTGAAATTGTTTCTACGCACTAAAGCAATAGTAACACAGATTTGTTAAATATGAACGATACAACTCACAGCCAGCCTGGTAGGGAAGTAAGCTGACAGTTAACTGTCTGTTTGCCTGTGCTCCATAGTTGTGTGGTTGTGTGTCCTGTGCAGCTAAAATGGCAGCTGCAATTTCCTACTCAAATGAACTCTGTCACTTCCCTCAATAACACTGGTTAACCATTAACACGCCCACCAGTCACACACTGGCAGGAGTGCCTGTAAAGGGAGGGAGAGAGAGAGAGAGAGAGAGAGAGAGAGAGAGAGAGAGAGAGAGAGAGAGACTAACTGTCATTCTAATACAAATTTGCATAAAAACATGATAATGAAGCACTGGATGCATGTTAGGTTTCATGCACAAAAAAACAAATTGGTGTACACCCACTGTATATCCACTGTATGTGTGTTTACTTTGATATACCTATAAAATGGTTTACTTTAATGGAAAAAGTACCACAGCTGAGGCTAGACAGTGATTGATTGTTGTTGTGCTATCAAACAGATATTTACAAGGTATCACTTGACAGTAATGAAACCTTTATAAATAACATAATCCCCCAAAACAGTGTGTTTATGAGGGTTGTACCCCTGTAAATAAGAAGTACACACTGCTGCAGCAACAGGAGTGAGTAAATCCAGGCGCTTGTGGAATGAATGTACCCTATACTTGTATATGAATGTGTGTGTGTGTGTGTGTGTGTGTGTGTGTGTACATGCGTGTGTGTGCATGACAGAGGGGGAAAGAGGTAGAGGGAAGGAGAGAGGGAGAGAGTATGTTTGGCAAGTACGCTAAAGTGCACACACCTGTTTGTTGGGGTAACACAATGTCCCACCATGAACCCAGCATTCCTGCCAGGAAGCCACTGGGCTTGCAGCACTGCAGTGTAAAGTGACACACAGTTAGCTAGGTTATCCGCCACTTTTATTTTATTAAAGAGATTATTAGTTAATGTTAAAAAGCTTAAGCTGTCAAAATTACTTTATTGACTGTGATTTTTATTTTTGTATCTTTGTAAACTTTAAGCAAACAAGAGATGGAAGAGGCTGTGCAGTGGGCAGCCAACGTGATGGATCATAAAACAGGAATAGAAAAGAAAGCTCAGGTAGGTGAGAGAAATGTTTGCAAAGTGGCATTTATGATGATTTTCAATTTATATCACAGTATCTTACATTAAATATGGTTCCTAGATGGATAATCATTAGACACTCACCACTAGGGAGAGTTTGTTTCCAAGCACAGCATACTGTATATAATATTCACTGTTATGACAATATCACAATTTGAAAATTAATCAAACAAAACATGTGAATAATTATTTTATGTGAAGGCATGTGTATTAATGAACTGTTATTTCCCAGAAAACATGTCAGCATTGCAGTTACGCTCTGAACGTGATGATAGATTCTGACAATTAAAGGATTTGTATGCACAATAGACAAAAGAACGCACCAACCAAGATCTTATCATCAAAAGAATAAATAATAATGTCTTTTACTTTTATAAAATATATAAAATAAAACAAGATTAAAGCAGATGAAAAGTTACATGCACACACATACAAGTTCCTTTGAACTCTGTCTCGTTGATAAATTATGTAAAAACATATTAAAAGCATATCAGAGTCAGTTTATAGTTTTATTGCCTGCACTATGCTGTGAATTTATTTTGACATTAACACTACCACTACCATTCCCAGCTCTCAACACCCCTTAGCCAACTTGGCATATCTGCTTTACAAGCCAATAATACCTCTCTCTCTAGGTTTTCTAATCGTGTCACATCATTTAATGTCACATTATTACTGTTTCTGTCATTTTCCAGGAAGAGGAGAGAGCGGGGAAGTGTGAGATTTTGGATCTGAGTGGAGGAGAGAACATCACAGAGCTGTGCAAAAGGAAAAAGAAGATCAAGAAAGCATGCTCACCCCAGGCATTTGTGGAAAACCCTGTGGTGAGCCACAATTTTCAAAAACATATATTATAAAAAATGTATCTCTGTGTCTTTCCTGTCCTCCAATGTTTCTCTGTGTGTGTGTGTGTGTGTGTGTGTGTGTGTGTGTGTGTGTGTGTGTGTGTGTGTGTTTCTGTGTGGAAAGGTACGGCTTGAGGATACTGCAGAATTCATGAATGCAGCCGGTCAAGGCAAGCTGAATGTAATATTCAAGTATCTGGCTGATGGTGGGAACCCTAATGTCCATGATGAGGTATGCTTTCTCAGTGTGGCAGTAAAACAGATACATTTACAACAGTTTCTTTTTATAATACATTTAAACTTTCCAGTTGAAAAGGACGGCACTACATCGCGCCTCCCTGGAAGGACACACTGCAGTTGTCCAAATGCTTTTAGAAAAAGGAGCCGATATCAACTTTAAAGATCAAGTAAGGCACAGTGCTTGTTTGTAAAGATGATGATGAGATTGGGTGAGATTATCTTCACTGCTCCAGCCTCTTGTGGCCTGAAGTCAGCACTATTAATAGGATAGGGCCCTCCTACTGTGTTTCAGCTGGGCTCCAGGGCCATACACTGGGCATGCAGAGGGGGAAGCCTGGAAGTTGTCAAAGCCCTTAAGAGCCATGGGGCTGACCTGAACGTTAGAGATAAGGTGAATGTGCATTTTATTTGTGCCTGAGTATGTACCAGGACTTATGACTGTGTATCTATGAACATAATGTTATATTATACTAATACAGTTGGTCCTATATGTGTTTGTATGTGTATTTTCATACAAATAACCCAGTCACAATGTATGCCAATGTGTACATTGCAGTTGTACAGCACTCCTCTTCATGTGGCCACAAGAACAGGCCACACCGCCATTGTGGAGTACCTGCTGTCCTGTTGTGCCAAAATCAACTCCAGGGACAGGGTAGGGAGCAGCTCAACAGTCTGTTTCATCTCCATAATTCATTTTTGTCATTAATACATGTTTTTCCTACCCTTAGGAAGGGGACACAGCCCTGCATGATGCTGTACGCCTCAACAGATACAAGATAGTGAAGCTGCTCGTAGTTGCAGGGGCTGACACAAAAATAAAAAACCATGTGAGTTTTTCTACCTGTTGTGCTTTGGTGGTTGAAGATGATTTTAAAGGACTAGTTTGACATTTTGGGGACATATGCTTACATTTTTTCCCTGAGAGTTAGATTTGAAGATAAATATGACCCTAATTTCTGTATGTTAAGTATGATGCTGCAGACAGTTAGGTTAGTTTAGCATAATGACTGGAATCAGATAGAAACAGCTAAAGCTCAGTAATGTGCACAGTAACTTCTTGGAGTCTCTGCTTGTTGGTGGCAACTGGTCCCAGCCAAGAAATTGTCCAGCATGTGGTGGTAAAATGGCGAATTGACATTTTTAAACCTGGTTTACAATTCTTTTTTAATTAAACGAGATAAAAGTTGACAGTTACTGAGCTTTTCAGGTGCTGGTAGGTTTATGTTATTTACTTTTGGACAGATGAAGGAATACTGTTTCCAGATAAACTGCTGCCTGCTGACTATTGCCTCACATTTAACATATACACACAAGGTGAGTATTGATCTCCTCATCTAAGTCTCAGCAGGAAATCAAATAAGGCGTATCCCAGAATATTGAACTATTCATTTAAAGGATGCTGATTGATTCCATATAAAAAGCTAACATGCTGTGGCTCATATCTCAACAAATATACCATATGACCCCATGCTAACACACTGAAAGTATGAACTGTGTTACAGGAGGGAGTAACAGCGCTGCAGCAGGTAAAACAATGGCAGTTTGACATCATGGAGACCATGCAGAGACTGGAGAAGCTGAGGGAGGTGGGACTGGTGGCACCTGAAAACACATCCAGAGAGAGGAGTGAATAGTGCAAGAAACTGCACATCTACTCATGCAGTATATTCTTTATAATGTCAGTTACTATGACTATCTGTCTCAGGTTCAAAATACATTCTGTAGTTCCACGGTAGGACTTTGTACATCATACAAATATGCATTATATGTGCTTACCAAGAAAATCTGCCTTCCCAGGGCAATGCTGCTAAACCTCTGGGATTAGTCTGAACTCTGACACTATAAAATGTCAGCTTGGATGTGACGGATTCCAAATGATCTGCTTATCTCCAGAAGGAGACAAAATATATGGATAAGGAAACAAAGCTGAATTTTCTGTTTATTTGCTTCCAAAGAGCTTTATGTTTTAGGAGCACTCTCACAGATGTCTCATATCTGATTTATAATGCATCTGGACGATGAATAATATTAATGTATAGTGCTGTACAGAGGCTGTGTTGGAATATACATCAAGAGGTCCTTGTTTTATCAAGGCGACAGACACAGCCAGAGTACACAGTAGCACTGTGTGTGAGGCGTCAGCTGACGATAGCAGAGATGGCTGGTATGCCCCCGCTAAAGTCAGGGATTCAAGGGGAGCTCAGTGGACATATTTTCCTTCTACCATCAGTGGCTCAAATGTTCCTGAGGGCGGTTGGCTATTCACACTGCTGAGTGCGGACACCAACAGCTTGCCCCCCCATCCCTGCTTACAATGTAGTTATTTATGTACAGTAAGTCATTATACATACAGCCATTCATTTTGTGAGCACATAGTATTGAAAAAAATACTGTGTTACTATTTTTCATAATGTAAAATGCTGTTTTAAAAAGCATGCATGTGTTGATGCATCAGATATATTATCAGCCAGACACAATATGTCCTGTTCCAAGCAAGGTAGTGTAACTGTCAGGGACTTTAGCATAGACACATAACATGCACAATACAAGGTTATACACACTACGTGACGGTGTTATTTATTTTGTCAACCTGACCCTAACAGAGATATTACAGCATCTGTAGGACTCAGTCGGACCGAATCCAGCAATCTGTTGGATTCATACATGTTTTACAGCTTTAGTTCTGTTTTCAATTCTATGTTCAACTACAAGCAGTATGCTGTTGTGTTGTGCTGTTGCTGTTGCTGAGGGCTGGAGTGATGTAGAATGAGAAGGGGGATGGGTAAACTGGAGGCTTTATGCTGTGTAGCAGCCAAAAAACCAGAGGAACCTGTTTACCCATGAAACGGTTAAACTTCTTCCTACAGCTGCGAATGTCGCACATTTCAGCCTCTGTGATCAGAAATGGCTGCATAATCATCTAAAAATTAAATATTCTCACTTCACGTTACTGTGTCCAAGTGCAATGCAGTGCTACCCAATGAAAAAAACATTTTCAACACAAGGCTTTAATAAACACATCAACCGATTACCACCTATGTGATACCTATTCCAGGAAAATGAGAGGATACTGTGCAGACATTTCTTTAAGAGCACTCAAAGCAACATTATATTGTTACAGAAAGAAGGTAACCATGGCAATGATATTCTCCAGGCAGGTGAAAAGTCTGGACAGACACGCTTTTAAAGCACCATTTGTTTCCAGTTGGAAATGGATGTGGGATTCAACTGAATTCAGTTCCACTCAGGCAGGGGGCGTTTAGGCAAATAAGGCTTGAGCGGGCGTAGTCTCTATCATAGCAGAAAGAGAAAAATAGTATTACATGATCTGAAATACAGGACATTACACACTTTGCACATAACAACAAACATTAAAGTATAATTGTGTGCTTGTAGATCGCGGAACTGATGCATGCACTGCTCTGCTTTTGTGTGTCTACTGTTATCTTCAATCTTTCTGATTGTACTTTGCAGCACACTGCTGTACTAAAGGGGGTATTCAAAGCAAGAAACAATATAGGCTCACAATATTAAATATTGATTTTTTCCCCCTCAAAGAATCTGACAACATTGAAAATCTGTAACTGCAATAATCCAGGCTAGAGATTTTTTATTTACAATAGAACCTAATATCAATTCCCTGTTTAATCTTCGGTCCTTTTGTTTTTCTTGCACACTAAAGCCCCAGGAGAAATTGTCCTTATTGATTTGTCTTTAATGTTCAGCTGTAAGAAATAACACATGTAACTCTTGTTGACTGTTTCAGGCATCCTTACCAATAATATCATTTGATTGTCTTTGGTTGAAGTTCTATGTAGGCAACCCTAGACATGCCATGTCTACAAATGCTTTGTAAGGCCTATTAACTGTTCAAGTACACTGAATTCATATGTAATCACAGAATAACTGTGATTGGCTGTAATGGTTAATACATTTTTACACCTCAAAATACTCAAACACACTGTCTTAAATAACTCAGTAACACAATTTACTACTTGACCAAGCAAGCAATTATCTCTTAACTCATTTGCAAGGTCAGAACAAACACAATGACAATGAATATCTATACACCTTACAGAAAAACACATACATGAGAATTACATACTGTTAAATATATATATGATTTATAAACTTTCATTCAGCTGCCTCATTTAAGATCTACGTACCTAATTCAATACATTTAATTAGGATTTATTATCAACTTTGAGGATGTCCAGTCATCCAAGTCTTTCAGGTTATACAGGGGAAAGCATGAGAGAATCATCCAGCAGAGTTAAATCTCCTCTCCATTGATTTCCACTGAGAGACGGATGTTTATTGGAAAGAGAGCTGCTGGACTTGTGAGTGATGGGAACTGGAACTCAGCACCAGCTTAGCAACGTTGGTCTTCTGGCAGACCTCAAATTCATTAGGATGACAGACACCTTAGGGAAAATGATGCAGAGGACAACGGAACGAGAGGGCACTGTGCATCATCTAATTTTCAGACGGAAACCCTTGTACTACATTCTTGTACCAAAATGTCTTTAAGGCATACGTGAATACTGATCCTCTGAAAGGAGAAACATCAGTGAATGCATTCCTTGAAAGATAAAGTTTGCAGCAGCACTGTTAATTGAGATGAGATTTTAAAGGTGCCCTGTGGAGTGTTTTTGTAAACAAACAAAACTTATGCTTACATTCACTGTGTTCATCTTTGAGGCCTGACACATGTGCATTTCCATCCTCATGGAATATTTGTATAGCCAATGTTTTGAGTATTTTACTTTATGCATTGTTAAGATCTATGTTTGCTAGCTTGCAGACTTCTTCAGTGGCTTTGTGGGCGCATTGATTATTTCTTTATGCATTACCACCACCAACTGTCCAGCAGTGTGAAACCATCTGCAAGAATCTGTGTCATGTCGCCCACATGCCTTGTGCATAATAAAAACAAACAGGGACCCACTTTTAAAAAAACATTTCTCCATAGCAATACCAGTGGTGAAAAACTCCACATGGTACCTTTAAGTATCACTCTATTGTAATGGATTGCAGCATTTTTAAAGGTGAATTTATCTCATTGGTGGCTAAAGTCTTCAGCATACAGACTTACTTTACACCTCCTCCTAATGCAGGACAAAATGTACCAGATGTGCAATAACATGGTAAGAAGAGATCTCCCATATTCAGTTGTTTGATGTATGAAAGCTAACTATTCTAGAGAAAAACACTAAGACACTCTTTATGTGTACAAGAATCAGAACAAGGGAAAACCAGCAGCCTTTGGTGTTAAAGGTGTGCTTAATGGTGTTGTGCATTTCAAGTCAGTCATACAGAAAGCCTGTTTGGTCAAATTGCATGTGCATTCCAAGCCACTGTGAAGGCTAAGCAAGGAAGATGCCAAAAAAAAAAAAAAAATGAAAGTGATGTTGAAAAAAAGAGAGAAAGACACAGAGAGAAGAGCTGGAGGGGAGTATACGAGTACACATCCCTGAGGTCCTCCTGGAAGGTGCTGGAACCCTGACCGTGTCTCCAGCAGGGTCTGTGACAGTCAAAGTGCCAGACTGCGAGCGCTGGAGGCTGAAGCCTGTGCACGCTGCACCACTGCCAGACACTTCTCTCTCTTCTGTAGCTTGTGGTTTTGAAACAAGCCCTCGTTTCGTGGGACACCATGAGCTCCATCTGGGAAAGTCAATAACCCTGGAGGCACAGAGACAGGACACTATGACCAACCACAGAAAGACAATATCGACATGCTCATGGACAAACTGTTCCAGTGGTGTAACAGACATACCGTATCCCTCAACACGTCCATCTTTGAATTCTCCTTCAAACTTCATGCCATCATATCGGCTGAAGACACCAGTACCTTGAAACTTCCCATGTGCAAATTCTCCTTCGTATCTGGTATGGGAAAAAGAGAGCAGTGTGTCATTTGTAACTTATAATGAGGGCAAAACTTGCTGTCTTTTTGTCTCACTCTTGCTCACACACCTGGATCCATCTGTAAAGAACAGTACACCAAAGCCATGGAAGAGTCCATTCTCAAATTGGCCGGTGTAGCATGTTCCATCCTGAAACTTGAGCTGGCCAACACCATGCCTCCGACCTGGAAAGTCGCACACCATCAGAGTGAGTAATGGCTCAAACTTCAAATAGATGATGGAAACACAAGAAAGCCACATTTTATCTACATGGGTGTCATCATGCCTCATCTAACCACTTAGGCTCCAATGGATTACTCTTTCGTAATAGTGTGTAACACTTAAACTTGCAATGCGGCTCAGGCTTTAAATGCACTTGGTGTTGTAGAGTTGTAGAGCCACTACATATGTCACATGAGTTAGTACGTGCTTGGATTTAAGTACACCCCTCACCCCCCTCTGTCAGCTAAAGGTTTACTACTGAATTAGGAGTCCCATCTGCCTCCTGTGGTGTGGGAATTACAGCACTCTAATCCAGCAGATTTTTTAGCAGGGATTTCTACTTTAGGATCCAGACTGTGAAAACAGTCAAGGAATATACTTGCATTCCCCTCCTAGTAGCCTATGATCCACTACTGAAGCTTGTAATCATGTCAGAGGGCCCACACCTTCAAGTTTCTGGAAAACTGCTACAACTGGCTTACACTCACAATTGCCACACTGAAAAAGCCAGCGAAGGTGCCTTTGAAGGGTGAAGGATGGATAGACTTGTTCCTGGTAATTTTCGATTGATTTGGTTTCTCAACCGCAGCTGACAAAGGACTCGCTGAGATTGCCCAAACTGGTCCAAAGTCTAATCCAGAAGATTTGACAAAGCCAGAGCTGGTAAATCTGGCTCTGTTCGTCATGGGCTGCCAATGCTAGCTAATTGGGATTTGATTAAATAGCTT